CCTACATGAGAAAGGTTTAAAATGGGTTTCATTTAGTATTTTTGTGGTGGCAACAATTGTGATCATAGTGATCAAGTGACTAAAACATTGGAGTAAACAGTGAAAACTGATCGATATTCCGTAAAATGTACATGATCGTACAAGTATTTAGCATTTGCTAATTAAAAAAGATAAACGATAGTAATAGAAGTATACAACTCTGCCTTTCCAGTTTTCCTGCGTTTCCATGCAATCAGCCAGACTCAGTTAACGCTTATCGGCTCAGGCAAAACTGTGAAGCCGATTTGAGATGAAAATATTAATATATTTTGTATTAGTCAAACTTCACATTATTTGGAACGTTTTGAAAATAAACTTTAATCCTGATATCTTGCCTGGAGGAAGGTTAAAGACGTTGGCATTTTGTTACATTCTCAGCCTAACCGGTCCACGTATTTTGTCACTGTTTGTAGGTTTTATATTTAAGTTTAACCAGACCGTGAGACAAAAAGGAAATATCCGAAAGGTTAATCTCTGTTTCTTCTAGAAATTTATGAGTCATGCCTTGAAGCATACAGGCGCAATAACAGGTATATATGATGTAAAAAATTATTATTTAACTTCACAAGGTCAAGGCGCGGGTATCACAACTGCACTACACTTACGCTGCATGCACATGCATGGAACCAGTACAAGATGTACGCATGATAATTTATTCACTATACAGCTTTATATGTATATAGAAAACGAATCGTGCATGACTGTCAAAAAGATCACATGTTTATGCATGATACATTCAATCTTCATAGAAGTGACTATGCGTCTATTTCACGCGTCAACATTATTAACAATATTAACTATCGATATGTGGTTAACCTCAGTTTTTGAAATAACGATTGGTAAACATTTTTTTAAATCAATTTATAGACTGAAACAAGATGGTGTTTATCGAGTTCAAACAAAAACATCATCTGGATATACTGGAACATACGTATACTGTCAAATGAGTGCATTGAAAGGTTGTGATAGCGGTGGGTGGACAATGGTTATGAAAATTAATGGTAATAAAGTGAGTACACGAACACGCATACGCATGTAGTAGAGTTTTACGATAGACAAGATATCTGATTACATATTTCCATAGAGTTTCTATTACATATTTCCATATTTTATAGAGTTTCTTTGAAAAATCATAATAATGAAATAAAACTGGCATAAATTCCATAACGGTTCTCTAGAAGTAATGAAATTTGATCTTTTTATATTAATCTGACACTGCAATCGAGCAACGAAAAATTCGTTGGCTCGAGCGGGATTTGAACTCGCATCTTCGGGTATCTAGACCGCCGCTCTACCTATTGAGCTATCGTGTCAACAGGGATTGGTAGCGAGTCTTATCCAATTTAAGTGCACGAAATATTTTCGTGACGACTTAACGCTTGTCTTTGAGGACGCGCAGTGTTTCAATTCTATTTCAGAACCATCCTCAGAGATAGGAAAACTAGTTTCATATTAATCTGACACTGCAACGAATTTTTCGTTGCTCGATTGCAGTGTCAGATTAATATGAAACTAGTTTTCCTATCTCTGAGGATGGTTCTGAAATAGAATTTGATCTTTTTGTCCATGATCTTTTTTGGATTTTTGATTCAGTGGTTAATCCCCTTCTAGCTTGTTGAACACGTCGGAATAAAAATGCCGCCATATTGAATCATAGCAGAATAGTCAAGCTAGGCATCTCCTTGCTAATATACGTGTCAACTATATAAATCCAGGGTTGAATGTCTGCCTGTCACCATAAAGGTGTCAATTGAAAGATCCGCATTGCACAAAAACGTTTCGGGATATTACATTGTCGCCAATTCCCCAATCTCGTACCCAGAGCATGCCCGTCAACCTGCGAACGGGCATACTCTGGGTACGAGGTTGCCAATCCCCTATTATGCATTATTGCATTGGTATATAGTGGGTCTCACCCTGAGAGTTTTACTGACTCGAGCATTGATCCTAATTTAAAAAAATACACTTTATTATTCATTACATGCACTTTTGGCAAATGGCATCATTTCCATGTTTGCCTGCATGATTAAGCATAGCAGACGCACATGGAAGATATATCCTCATCAGTGTTTCGTTCACGAATATCTTCCTCTTTGATCTTGAGCCCAATCACAGGCCTATCCTTAACCCATCTGTGCAAGAAACATGAGGAAATAACCATATATGAAAACGAGGCCATTGCGGAAAGAGTGCAATCTAATCTGGCAAAGTTCTTCGAAAATTGCAATCAATTTGAAAATTGCAGTTTAAAACTTACTGGAAAGCTTCATGAGTATTGTATATATATAGATGTGTTCACCTTGACAATATTTCGAAAAGGACTAAACTTTTTTGTTTAGAAAACATTTGATTATAATTCACAACTATGGTCCAACAAAGACTGTTATAATTTGGAAGGTGGAATCACGGGATTTGATCTTAACGAAACGAAACTGCCGACATACTGGAGCACGTCATTTAACGAAGTGTGCCTTGGAATGACAATGGGAAACATAACTAAATTCTTGACAATCAATCACAAGGCAAACTGACTGCACGAATGTTTAGCTGATGGGGTTTTTAGAGCCGTGGTTTTTAGATGGGAACAATGGCGGCACCTTGTGATAAATTCAACTATTCAAGGTTTCTGTCAACGCGAGGGATTCAATGTGAAAGCAGACGTAAATGCTGCACCTTATGCAAAGGTAGACTATATAATTATAAATTAGCCATATATCTCGCTTTATACTCCTAACAGTACCGCTCAGAAATTACACTGTTGTTGTGGTTTCTGTCCCGGTTGGAATATTCATCTATAAACTTAGGATCGTAATTTTTTCCAACTAACAATATCCAAACATATTGACACCTAACTGAAACTTACAGCAAGGGATAAAGGAAGCTCGACTGAGCAGCAGTAAAAACCTTTTCATGCGCTCAAAACCCGGTTTAACTCGAATATCTGGATCGTGCAATAACGAAATTATGTTTAATAACTGAATGTAATTATAAAATGCGATATTTGTGCCAGAAAGTTTATCAAACCAGGAACTCATAAGTTAAGCTTTGACGTTAACTTAGCTTTCTTAGACCACTAAATCAGGACATTTTGCCATCTTCTGCAGGTTCGTTTGGGTATCATTGGAAATGAACAAGATGATTGCCGCACGCCAGATTCTTTTCTTGGCTTTGGTGGTCAGTGGAACTGGACTCCCCTGTGTTATTATGTAACACCTGGTGTGCTACCTGTATGTGGAAATGTTGCCAAGTGTACGAAAAACGCTAAGGGCAGAATTACCACAACAATGGGTTATATACTTGTTCGCTAAACATTTTCATATAATCATGTAATGCATTTCAATGCAATGTAATGATAATATTGATAAATGAGCTGCACATGCATGCATGCATATATTTTTAATGACTAGGAGTTGCAAGGAAAGTGCTGACTCTAAATCGCGGTAACCAATATATATAAATTATATATATATATATATATATTAGTAAAATAATTTAGTAAAACCTATAATTTTTAGATGCCGCTTAATTATACAAATTTACTATGATATTCCATAGCCGGTTATATATATATATATATATATATATATATATATATATATATATATATATATATATATATATATATATATATATATATATATATATATATATATATATATATATATATATATATATATATATATATATATATATATATATATAAATTATA